CAGGAATGCTCTCAGGGATCCCTCTGGAAATAGGGATGGCCACAGGCAGTAAGAGCTGCTGAGCACCCTTAACTTACTGAGGGGTTGAGGATCCCAGGGCAGGAACTGCAGGTGGGAGATGTGGGCTACATAGGAGTCATGGAGCAGTCAAGAAGATCCAATGTATTTTGCCAGTCTCTGTACTAAAACATGAGAGTGTTTTGAACCCCTGCGTTACTACTTTAATAGCAATTCCTTCCAAATCTCAACCTGGTCAATAGCACTGAGTAATTCATGTAATTCACTACTGCTAACTTACAATAAAGAACTGCAGAAATAGGTCTTGGTAGAAGATAAAACAGAAGCAAATATTTACTTATCCATTACCTCAAATCTAGAGAAGGATCATAAAATAACCTATAGTTTAATCACTTAGTGCATTTAAACACTTTAAAAATTTATTTCTCAGGCCATATGGAGAAGAACATTTCTCGCAATAGGCAAAAACGGTGTAAATGCATATAAACTGCGTTCCCTTCTGGAAGAATTAGGCCATCTGATTGACCATAGCTTTAAAGGCTTCGGACTGCAGCGTGTGCCCTTCACGGCAGCCATCCAGAACGGTCAGCTTGGGAGGGCTGCACAGACCACCTGAACACCAGGCAGGGGCTCTTGAGCAGAACACAAAGTAGGAAACCTATGTGGAAGAGTTCTCCATACCTCCAGCTTCCCAATCTCCTTTACAACCACGTCGTAATGACAACCTTGGGTCACAACTGTACGGAAAATGAGAGAAATACGAGTAAGAACAGCACTTTACTCATGCAAAGGACTCTGCACAACTTAAATGGTCAATCTTCTCCTGTCCATAGTGGAACCGGCAAAGTGGCAAATGGAGAAGAATTGAACACTGAGATCATTACCCAAAATGAGACCCCTCTGAGAACAGTGGAACTGATAGGAGTTTATACCAATACTTTGCTCTGGCCAACTTAAGGGACCCTTAACTTTCTTCAGGAAAAAAAAAATCTAACAGTAGAAATATTTTATAAAACTAGAGACAAAAAATTATCAGAAGCAAGTTGGTAAAAGTTGAGGAACATTTAATTAAAAAGAAGAAAAAAGTCTGCTTTTAAAATCAAACTATACTATAAATTAGAAGTGCTATTCTGTCTCGACAGCCTATCCACAAACATGATTTCAAAAGGGAAAGATCTTTTCAAAGCTTTTCAGAGGCGTAAGCGTGAGAGGTCTCTACAAGGGCCACTGAGATTCACCAGTGCTGCTGAATTAGTGTTTCCATTTAAGTATATAACACACTTAAAAGCCAACAAGCTGTAATTCAATCCGAGTCACTTCTGTTATTGCTTGATATTCTGCATCAAAACTTCTGATAGAATTTTCCTGAATCATTAGAATTAATCTGTCCCATCCCTCCTTGCTGGTAAAGAAAAATCTCCGAGTTGTTTACTCGGTTCATTGCTGATCATCTTGAATCAAGATGTCAACCAGCCAAATCTAAAAAGCACCTGGTTCTCAAGTGACATCTGCGCAGTCCATGGAGGGGGCTTCACTTAACACGACCCTGAAGATTCCAGAGTTTTAGTGGTATCAGGATATTTGACACCTACGTTTTGTTCCTCCACTTCTTACAGCTGGCAAAGAGTAACCCTCATGAACTACAGCAGAGGCATTTGCAAGGCACATATTAAAATGCAAGAATAAAATTGATGATAAAATATTTGGCCTTTGTAAGTACATTCAGAAATATTTTCTGGATAAGAAAAAAAGGAAAAAAAATCAGTAGAAATCAGGAGAAATTTGCACTTCATGAGCACGAAGGGACAGGCTCTGTCAGGATTAAGTAAGAGAAGGTCTATTTCCAGAAGGGCTCAGCTATTCCTTTTGGGGGGGTAGAAAAAAAAATATAGTAGTTTGAACCTCTAGGAACATCGTGTTGTCAAGTGCAGCAGGGCATTAGATCTGCTGTTGCTTCTCTGCTTTCAGTTTGACAGCAGTGCAGCATCTTATTTGTACAGGCTCAGATATGTCAGTATAAAAAAAATCTTCTTACGAAACCCAGTAATCTTTAGAGATGCAGTAGAAGTTTTTCAGATAGGTCATACCAAGGAGAATCTAAAGCTCCAGAGTGCAAATTAAGGTGTCCCCTGATATGTAATTGCAAATAGGTTCTCTCTCCCTGCAGACTAAGAGCTCATCTTTTAAACTGAAAATAGCTGGAAAAAACTTTTGTAAATGGTATACTGTTAGTGTTATTTCAATTAGGGATTGATACATGATTCCATATAAATTGACTGTTACACCAAAACAAACAAGCCAAACAGTTTTAAGCTCAAATTACATTAACAGAACAGGTCATGAGTAAATTTAGATCAAGAACTGTTGCCTATTTTGTTAGAAAAATATTTTCTTCAGTTCTAAGGCAAGACAACAATCGTAGATAAGGATGTCTGTTCAAAGGAAAAGCAGAGGTTTTAAGCACAAATGTGCAAAATGGGAATTTACTATTAAGAGATGAAATCTGAGACAGCATTAATTTATATTTTAATAGGACTATTCTTATTGTGTCTTTATTTGAAGAAAGTAAACAAATATTAGAAAAAAGTGTGCTTGACATTTTATTTGACTTTTATTAAAATCTGTCGATGAAGGCATTTCACTTGAAGCCCTCTTTAGCTTATGCTGGCTCTTCAAATGTACTAATGAATCTGAGGATATCTAGATATTTTTAGGGATGATCAGCCTAAGAAACAGTAACATTGCCTGAGTGGCAGTTGCTCTGAAAGCTCCCCCAAAGGCTCTCGGTATGGATTAAGTAATTTTTAGCAACTTTTCATAATTCTCCCAGGCACATTTTTACTGTATTGTTCCATTATGAACACATCAATGTAAGCATTATAACCCATAGGTCTCTATAATGCTAGTTACTAGAAACATACTGAGTTTTCACATGGTCTCTCTTCTTCAAATCCTGGCTTTTAGATTTGGCAATAAAAGACCTAAATCTGTGCTTTTATAACGTGATGAAGTTCTGGAGATGCCAAGCACAGCTGCATTCACTGGATTAACATCTATGACATTCAAATGGGTCCTTAACAGTCATAAAAGCACCATGGGAATGGCAGATTCATTTCATTTCTAACAGGGTTCATATGTTGAAAGAACATGTGCTTATACATAGCAGTTGTCACAGAACTCGCTTCTAAAGTAGCCTTCTGCTTATTATTAATGAGGAATGCTTAAGTGTGGCTTCGATGTTAATGACTATTCAGAAAAATAAGAGGCAGAAGCTATGGCAGACTGCAGTCTTCCCTGGGGTTGACAAACAAGATTACAACAAACATTTTAACAGTTTATAACAAATTGATAAAGGAAATCATTCGGAGCTGTTCACATTCTGCACAAAGGCTCTGAAGTGCCACGATGCATCAATTCACTGATAGCTAAGGCACTTGCACGAACTCTTCTGCCTGAGAGTTGTTACACAAATTCGGGTGCATTCTAGGAAAATAAAAGCTGAGCAGACTAAAGTTTCTCACTCCTTCCTTGTGACATTTCCACACGATATTGTAGACTACTGGATACACACACATTACACTGGTTCCTCCACAGTTCTTGCCTGAGAACGGCTCATCTTCTGCCAACCAGATGAGGATGTGCAAGATCAGTGAAAAATACACAGACAACATGGCAAAGTTAGATTTTGAGATAAGCTACTTCATTACTACATCTTAATGAAACTTATCTTCTCTCAAGAGGAAATACTATCCCAGTTCCACAATCCTACCACAGAAATTCAGGATGTGTGTTCGTATTGCTGTCAAGGAGAGCTGGGGGTGGTTGTGTGTGTGCTACACAGGCCAAGGAGGAACAGGGGAAAGAACAGGCCATATAAGGGCAGATTATTGATTAATCTCTGCTAGAATGGAAGCACAGGGAGGTTTTCTGACAGATTCCTTTTAGCATACCGTACCCTGAAAACCAGGAGTTCTATGTGCTAGTCCTTACAATCCATAAGGTAAAGTTGGAAGCCACATCACTGTGACAGAGGTAGGCTTATAACGAAGCTTGGTAATGAAGAGTTCTTCTGTGCCAAATTCTTCGAGGTATTGAGAGCACTTCTCAGTCGAGTCAATATTATGGGACAAAAGCTTGTTTTCCTAGAGTATTGTGCACATTTTAAAGGAGGGAAAATAGCAATAAAGGCAATAAGTAAATCACCATTAAGAATTCTACTGCATTGAGGATGCCATAGTTGGGGGTAGAATATTCAGACTCTGTGGTATTGGGACACTACAGAAAGTTCAGTATTATGATGACAATATTATCCTTTTCCTTCTCAAAGCTTTAGCTGTACATTCAGATTCCTATATACTAGACAGTCCATTCATCTCATTCTCTTAGGAAAGAATGCTTCAGGAAGTCTGGCTGGAAAGGCAGTACGTTAAGAAGTCCAGGCTTTTTTTAATAGTTAATCTGGATAGCTTAATAACTTGGGTTATTCCAAGCAGTGTGGCAGCAAGTTCTTGCTTTTAAACA